TCGAGAGCTTAACCTCCGCCAAAGCTCCTGGGAATGATGGCATCCCCCAGATCTGATCAGGCACTGCAAGACCACCCTTTTGCAGCCTCTACACGACACCCTTTGCTAGTGTTGGAGTGAAGGTGGTGTTCCATGCACAAGACACGAGAGATGACAAGATCGTCATCCTGTACAAAAAGAGGCGAAAGGAGCGATTGCAACAACTTCAGAGGCATCTACCTCTTGAGCATCGTGGGCAAACTGTATGCCAGATTCCTGTTAGTACATCCTTAACAGCTGGCGGGACGCGTCTACCCAGAGTCCTAATATGGCTTCCGAGTAGAACGTTCTACAGTGGACATGATTTTGCCCCTTCGCCAACTATAGTAGAAGTGCAGGGAACAGCAAAAGCCCCTCTACACTGCCTTCGTGGATCTGATCGAGGCCTTTTACCTGGTAAGCGGGAATAGGCTCTTCAACATCCTCCTAAAGCTCGGATGTCCTCCGAAGCTTCACAGCATGATCAGATCTTTTCATGATGGTATGAAGGCAACCATCTAATCATAAGCGGCGTGAAGCAAGGCTGCGTCCTTGCTCCAACTCTCTTTAGCATCCTCTTCTCCCTCCTTGTGAAACATACTTTTAGGAATTCAATCGATGGTGTGCACATGCACAGAAGATCAGACGGCAGACTATACAACATCACAAGACTCAGAGCAAACACTAAGGTGTGTGTGACCATCATCAGAGACATGCTCTTTGCCGATGACGCAGCAGTCACCTCACATACTGAACAAGATCTACAGTGTCTGATGGACAGATTCTATCAGGCCTGCAAAGACTTTGGACTAACCATCAGCCTGAAGAAGACCAACGTGCTAGGCCAAGACGTGAACACATCACCTGTCATCACCATCGATAACTACAAACTTGAAGTGGTTCAACAGTTCACTTACCTTGGTTCCACCATCAGCGAAAACATGTCCTTAGATGCTGAAATCAACAAGCCCATCGGCAAGGCCGCAAGAACCCTAGGACAACTGATCATTCACGTTTGGGAGAGCCCCAAGCTGACCACTCCAGCTAAGATAGTAGTGTATAACGTGTGCATAGTCAGCACCCTCCTGAAAGGATGTGAAACCTGGACAACCTATGCCAAGCAAGAGCTAGAGGGACAAAGCGCCCAATGTTCAGGTTCTTGCCCGTGCCAGCCTCCCCACAATGTACACGCTGCTCAGACAATGTAGACTGCGCTGGATCGGCCATGAGCGCCGTATGAAAGATGGTCAGATCCCAAGGATCGTCAACTTGCTTCGGGCAAAAGACCGGAAGGTCGCCCCAGCTGAGATATAAATAAGTCTGCAAGCGCGTCATCAAAGCTCTAGACATCAATACAGAGATCTGGGAGGACACCGTGGCTAACCTCAGCAGCTGGCGCTGCTTGCTTAAGAAACTGCTGAAGACAGGTGAGAAGAAGATCATAAACCTGGCAGAAAGAGGAGAGCCAGGCGGAAGGCACTTTGTGCAGCAGAGACTATTATTCCCGCATTGGTCTTACCAGATACCGACAATGCTGTTCAGGTCGCAAGACCACGATCTCCTACGGGACACTTTTAAGACAAAACAAAAGCGCTTAACGTCCCAAAAAACCGATCCTTATTTGTTTTGGAGTATTTCTTGTGTTTAAATTAGCTCGTACATATGATGAGCTAAATAAATACAAAAAAAAAGATTTTGTGTCACAGGAACTTTATTTGTTTTAACTTTTACTCGGCTCATGCGATTACTTGTGCAAATTCACTCCTTCCATTCCTCCTCCCTTCCAGTTTATTTCCGAGTTCATTAGCTCGCAGCCACTTAGTTGATTATTATTTTCTTCCCTTTGTTATCTTCTTATTGATAAATAATTGGGCGTCTATTAACGATATACCGAGATATACGGCATAAAAAGGAAAGATATTAAAACTACATGTCTAAACTAAGTTTCAGTGGTAATTGTAAACTGACAACAAAAGTTGGGCGGAGAAGCAGGCCGCGACGAACGCTGACTATACCGTTAAAATTCTTCTCATTATCTGAGGGGCAAATCGTTACTTATAACATAATAACAAAGGAGAAGGTCTTGATAACTCTATGTAATTAAACTACCACAGGAATAGGTAAACAATGCAATAGTTTAACAAGAATAACTGGTGAAGCATAAACATCGTAAATTTCTTTATACAGGTAAAACAGTATCAGCAGTACCTTTGAATATCATGTGATGAAAATTGGGTTGTAAAACGCCAGCATATCGAAAAGAAATTCGGCGATGTCATAGCTACATCACAAAGTTCATTTAGAGATGAATTATTCCTGAAAAAATTTTTTTGTTCAGTCAAATGAAGAACTAGAAGCAACTGATGAAAATAGAAATGCTCCAAAAAACATGTCTTATTGTTTTCTATTTGATATCGCTGAACGGCACATTAGCGAGATTTGTACAGTTACGAACAGTTTTGTCGACAGCACTTAGTCTGATTAAGTACCATGATTGGGCATCTAAAACCTGTGTAAAGCGCGTAACACGAACAAAACACCCTTTCTACAACGACCAGTTACAACTCGACTCGCGGATGAATGATGTAGCTAAATAGGTGACTAATCCAACAAGCAGGCAGCATTTCAGAAATGAATCCAGCTGAAAAGAAAAGCAATGTAATCTGCAGTAATAAAAGTGAACGTAGAGCAGACTGAAAGACTCGCTGTATATTACTTCTTTCATTTGTAAACGTTTTTAGTTATTGTTTGTTTAAGAGGGTCATATTCTGCTTCCTAGTTAAAAGGTATAAATTCTTAATTATGTTGTGTATTTATACTTCACAAATTGTTTGCGGTGTTATATACTTCCTTGCTTGATCTTTCTTGTTTCTGTTTTTAAAAATTTTTCCTAATGGTACAGATTCATGTGCCAAAAAGCGTTTTTGGTAAGAGCAATTTCCTGCCCGCATTACCTCTGTCTAAAAGGCCACTTACCAACAATGGTCACTTTCTTCTAGTCAAGGTGGCCGTCATAGAAAGGTTAGACTGTACTTGAATTATTAACAGAATGTTAAGTGGACCGTTTTGTATAAGAGGTTATCATTTTACTGCCAAGTTGCATCAAATTAAAATACGGCTTCCTTCCCAAATCAACCCATTTAGATTTTCCCGATTCGTCGAATTCTTGATAAGAGAAATTAGTGGAACTTAACGCTTTCCGGTGAGATCCATCACGTCACAATTTTCGCCAGTCAAGAATGCCTTGGTCAGAGACAATTAATACCACAATTTGAACACTTTCAAGACTGAAAAGTACACAAATCAGGAGGATTACTAGCAAAACTCACTCATAGAGGACCACGAACTGGTGGAGTTTTGTTTTCACCATCGCACCTTTTATTCTATCAGCCGCCTACATGCAAATACTTCCATGAGCTATGACTACTAGATTAAGGTAAACTTTATTCTTTAAAAGACAAACGTTTCTCTTCACATCGACTCATTCTAGAGATCAGAGGATAGTGTATTGGAAGACACCAAAAGGTACCTAGACAGGAAAGTTTCCCAGAGACCTACTCCACTATACTAAGAACTACTCCTCTATCTAATCTGAGTGTCGATTTTTAAAGTTTTCAAGACACATACACTATTTTTAAGATTTCTAGTGATCATATAAAAGGACCTCTTGTTGCAGCGTTTAGATCACCCCTGATGAAGGCACTAGACAGGAGTGTCGAAACGTTGGGTCTATGAATTGTAACTTCTTCGGTTACATGCATTAAATCTGCAAACCAGTGTAGCTTCAAACTATGTCTAGTTCAAATATATTATGCAAAATTGAAAATTAAAACAAAGTAAAAGGAAGACAAAAGATAACTTAAAGTCATGTGCTAACAAAGTGGTGTTTTGGTCTTACACACAATTTACACCCGTGGTGTTACACAATTTACTTCGTGAAATAATAAACTTCGTTGAATTAACCTACACAGAAACGTTTTCCGAAAAGCATTATTTCCGTTCATCTGAGACAAAGACGAAGTCTAAGTCTTGGGCACAAGTAGAAGTTTTTGCGACACTTTTTCCAAGAGTTAACTCTTTATCGCTCAGTTTAAGCAACAATTTTAGAAAAACAAAAAAAAAGAAACTTTAAGAACTAACTAGAGTATCCTAAAAGAGCGTGCCTGGTGGTAGTAATCTTAGTGGTTTTGAAACAGGTTAGAGAACAGGCGGCCTGATTGTATGTTTATTCAGCCATTGCGGATTAGAAATAGATTATTAGTTCAGTTCAAGGTGAACGCGGTAGCGTATTGGTTAATACGCCGGTCGAGGGGTCTGGGTTCGAGACCTGGCTTGGTCTTGGGCAACACGCTTAGTTTTCACAGTGCCTCTCTTCGCCCAGGAGTATAAATGGATACAGGCGAATTGTCAGGGTAGCCTGATAAGAATTAATCCTTGAAGTTAGCATTCAGATGGACTGGTATCTCATTCAAGGGGGGTTGTAACACTCCTAGTCGCTTAATGCTATCGAAATGGAGATAAGCTTCATCTGGATGGGCCAATTAGCACGAGCTCAGACTAAGACAACTGTGAAAGGGAAAAAGGGTAGGTAACTTTTCACCTTAACAAGCTACCTGCCAAACGATTACATGATAGAAGAGTCACGGTTGTCCGATCTAACCTTAATGGCAGTGTTGGTAGTTCTTTCATGAATTTATAGAATAACCAGCGAATATTCGTTTAAATAATTGTTCTTTTTTGTTCTTCTAACATTGGAGATCAAAGCGACTGGTTCTCTTGAGTTGCGTCGCTGCTAGCGACTAAAACTCCTTTATATTGCATTTCTTTTTTTGTTTTTTGGATTTTGTAATTGTGTGAAACTCTCGACGTAGGCGGAGTACCAGCAAAACTCACTCATGGACCATGAACTGCCTACATGAAAACGTTCCTATGAAATATGACTTCTAAATTAAGCAGCAGTATAATCTGTAAAAGCCGAACGTAACTCACCACTTCGACACATCGAGATCACATTGAGGTGAGGAGAAAGAGAGCGTCGATCGAATTGATACCATAAGGTGCGTAGATAGAATAGGTACTAAAAGAAATCCTCTAGAGATCATCTGGGAATTCATCTTTGATCCTGCAGTTTAGAACAACTCATAAAGTTAATCTATCAAACACACTTTACAGTTTTCAAGTAATCTCCTCTTTTGAACTTTAAAATATTCGGCAAAAGTACCAATTCTCATTTAGCCACTTGTAAACAGGATACTGGTAAAAACGAACACGACAATGTGGATTCAAACGTCTTGATTTTAGCTTCTTCGGTAAAATTATAGCATTTTGTTCAATTCTTGTTAATGATTTCTTTGTAGAAGACATCAGAGGTATTAGTGGTGTAAATATGCATAAGATTTGACAAACTTGGATTTGAAAAGTACATCTCAAATCCAAAAGGCTGGTTAGGAAAAACATCTTGCTTTACGGAGAGATCTGAGTGGTTCTATTCTAAGTTGCAATACTAGCAATGTTACTACTGATAGATATTCTACTTAAAGGCATATATCACTGAGCGTAACCAAATTGAAGCCTGCAATATGGTTAAAGAAAGTCACTTGGTCGGTTATGGGGTTCAAACACAACGGACTATTTGAGATTCCAAGGTTGGGTTTCGGAACTGCCTGTCTGTTCAGAGTCAACATACGAACTGTTCGTTCTAGGTCTTAATGCTGACGGTTTTTAAAGGTGCATCCTCTATAAAGATAATCTTGGTACTTAAAGAACTGAACAGACTGACGTGTTGTAGACAGTTTCGTTTACCATTCAAAAGGCTCTTTGGGTGAAATTCACAGACAGGCTTCCTGTTTGAAGATATTTCGAATTCATTCTTATTCAGCTTGAAATTTAACAGCCGGAATTCACACCAGTTAAAAATGGGATGTCTGACTTCAAGCCAATTAATTTGAACCAAACGCGCAAACTTTAAAATAGACAGAAGCAAATATATAATATACGCCACTAAAAAGAAGACAACTGATAAACAAACTCGAAAGAGTGCTTCATTGTAAAGCTCAAAAATTACTTCAAGTGGTATTTAAAGAAACATGTGTCATTAAATGACCGAGTCATTTCAATCTTGGAGTGAAATATAGAGTCGTAAGCCCCTTAATTTTAGAGACAGTCTTTAAAAAAATAAACCTTTGAAAAAGCTATCGTTTTGAAACTACCGGTTCGTCGACAAGAACTTGCGAGACGTTCAAATAGTGCTAAAATACAACTTAACTGACACGTGAGGTTGTGTTTTTGTTTTGGATACCCTTGCGTTATTCAATTATCGTAAGAATGATCATCATTTAGTCTTTAATAGGGAAGGGCCTTCATCCAACATACTTCTATCTGATGAGTCTGCCTCAGTCTTAACACAGAGGATTGTTGAGCTTTTAGCACAGGTTGAAACTCATTACAAGTCATCCAATACCTGTTTAGAGGACGTCTTTCATGTAACATAAACAAATTTGACATACTTTTTAAGTTGTATCTTTAACTTACCATTAAATCCAGGTTACTGCCGAAGGATCCTTGTTAAGAGCAAATGATCACCAGTTGCAATTCATTGATGTCAGTAAACTGAAATTTGACCCCCCTTTACTGTCATATCTTTCACTTTCAAAAATAATAAAGTTAAGTAAGAGTAAGAGTTGAATTGATTTTAATTCTTATGTCATTCATTCTTTGTGGCTATTATGATGGCATATTGCTTAAGTTCAAGGTCTAGCCCTACTACGAGGTTTGCACATGGAAAATGGGGTTTCTTTAATTAAACAAGCAAGCAAATACGTCCAAAAAATACGACAACAAACAACCATTTTTGACTGGTCTCAAATCTTCAGCGTGCTTATTCATGTGTAAGAAGAATATCTCAGAGCGCTAAGATCCTCCAATGTTGTTTAAAATAGATGGCCCAGTTTAAAAGTGTCTAACTAAACGGCAATCTCTAGATGAATCAACTGAGTTTCTCAGTTTTAAATATCGAATTAAAATGCTAGCTTATTATTTGTTTCTCGTATCTGGAAAAAAACGGTTTAACTGAAATTTTATATATTCATTAAAACATTTCCTTTATCGCCTCATGTGAAACACGTTAAAACGTTTCGGTTCTGTTCTGTGGTCAATTTCCAAAGTAATTGCGCAACATTTTTTCCCGTAGATTGTACTTCGGAAAGCAGAACGATGCATGTCCCTTTGGTGCTTCTCGTTCTTGGGTTATGTACATTTAAAGAAACATGTGAAGCTACCAGCGCTGAGAATTCTGCGCTGGGAAGAGTGATAGATCTTCGAAAGGTCAACTTATTGGCCGACTTTCAGGAGCATGAGAACAGGATCTTTGAGGAGCTCCCCTCCAAATGTCTCGTGAAGAAAACTTTGAAGTCTTCGAGCAGCCACTTCGAATATTACGCAAATACCAAGGAATTTTATAAGTCACTTGCCACCCAGTCAAGCTTGAGCGCCTCTTTGCAGTCCTCCTACTCGTTGGGTGTGACGGTATCAGTAGCAACAAAGAGCAAAAGTTCACAGCAAAGTGAAGTGAGTGGCATGTCTTTAATCAAGCAGGCGTTAACAGAAAAGATCCACGTCGATAAAGAATGTCTATTGAGTGAGGATATCTCCACCTTGAAAAAAACATTTCTAAATGACCTCGAGGACTTGCCCGTAAACATCAAAAATCCCTGGGAACCAAACTCATGGAGAGAGTATCGTAATTTTCTCAAGGAATACGGTTCTCATGCCATAACATCTGAGAAGCGTGGATCACGATTTCAGCAAATGACATTCGCAGAGAGCTCTAAGGCTTACACTGAAAGAGATTTCCAAGTAAAAGCTTGCGTTTCGGTCGCAGGACCTACCCAGGTTGGAAAGGTTGGCGTCTCTGCATGTTCAAACGTAAGCCAAAGTGAGTTATCCAAAGCGAGCAGTATGAGCACAAGCGAGAAACGCTTTGTCAAAGGTGGAAAAAGGGAAACAAATAGCAAGCTGGCAAACGGGGCGACGTCGGTTGAATTGCTTGACCAACTCATGAATGAGGCAGATGAATTTCCCGCGTCTGTTCAGCACACCTTCATGGCGATCTGGACCATCCTGCAGAGCCGATTTAAGCATGGATCTCCTAACAATATCCGAGCCACAAACCTTGAGTACTACTACCTTGGGTTCTTGAATTATGGTTGTCCATACATAAGTAACTCTGGACTTGCCATACAAAAATTTGACCACACCAGTAGCTCCAGCGAGGAGTATCCAGAATTCGAGTGTACCCTGGCAAAAGAGGGCTGCCACAATAGCGATGACTGCCACTACAAACCTATTTGGTGCTCCTGCCGTGGTCCAACGTGTGTCCATTACAAGAAAGTGAAAGAAGGTGCAGGTGACTCTAAGTTAACTGCATACCCAAACACATTTGAAGATTGGGGATGGCAAGGTTGCGATTGGAAACTTGCAGGATCTTGGTGCGAGTGCTATAATAAAAATCGTGATCAGCGGAAAACTGTGTGGTTCTTGCCAAACAGAGATGCCCCAACACACAAAGCATCAACCAAAACCGCTGCAAAAAGATTAATGTCTCCAAAGTACACCGCTGGAGAGTAGAAATGAAAAACGAAAGAAACTTTAAATTTTGATTTACCTAGATAACTTGCGCTAGTATTGAAATTTGGCACGCTTAAAGTTAGAACCATGCATGTGTCTCATTGTGTTTGAATAAAGGGTAAAATGTGAACATGTCACTACATTTTATAGGACCCACGCCCTGTTTGTGTGGAGCTCGTACCGTAAAGCTATTTTCCGGAAAATGGGAAAGAAAGACAAAAACATCTACCCTTAAAATGTAGTATCGATAAGATTGGTGTAAAGGGTACTGACTGAAGCCTCATCCCGGATTCCCTAATTGGCTGTTTCGTAAAAGAGGCCATTAATACAAATTAAACAAAAAATGGAATAATCTTTCAAAAGATTTGTCGTCCCCTATGATACGCTCGCACCTAAGCAAGACCCACAATCGATTTTTCTTTTTTATACTTCCATCATTTTAACCTGGAAAGTGGCCGAAAGCAATTTCGAAATTGATGTTGCAACCTCTTAAACATGGAGGGCAAAATTAATAATTGCTGATCAGCTAAGACAAAGGACATTTTATCGCTATTGGACATTATTTCAGGAGTATTTCAACGCTGACTAATACAAAATCACAAGAGTTGTGAGAGATTTTTAGGAGTTTTTACAGTTTTCTACGTTTTCTAACATGCTGTAAGATCAAACCGCCACCAGAAAAACTTCACTGCTTCAAACATTTAGGGAAGCCACGCACTGATAAAAACATAATACAACATTTAGAGAAGCTTGAGGATTCACAAAGTCTCTTGAAGATGATCTGTCTGCAGGCCACCAAGCAACACCGCTTCTAGGTCATGGAACCACCTGCATGAGGCAATTCAGAAATCAGCTCTTGCTACCTTTGGGAGGAGGGCCTCAAAGAACTGCGACTGGTTTGAAGCCAAGTCTGAGAAGTTGATTCCTGTTATTGTTACAAAGCGTGCTTCCGTTGCTGAAAACAAGCGCTCACCAATTGAGAAGACCCTCCAAGGAATCAGATCAGCCAGGAGCAAAGTACAGCAGAGAGCAAGAAGATGGGGCAACGAGTACTGGCGGGAGCTCAGTAACGACATCCAGACTGCAGCAGCAGCAGGCATCCTTAGGGGCATATATGAGGGCATCAAGAAAATCTTGGACCAATCTAGAGCAAAACAGCACCCCTGAAAACCAGCAGCGGAGAAGTGATCAACGACAAAGTTTAGCAGATGTAGAGATGGGTGGAGCACTACTCAGAGCTGTACTCCAGAGAGAAGGTTGTTGTCACCTCAGCAATGGACGCCTCTGCGAATCATGGAGGAGTTAGAAGCTATACCAACACTGGAAGAAATCGGCAAGGCTATTGACAGCTTCACCTATGGCAAAGCCCCTGGGAATGATGGTATCCCCCAGACCTGATCAAGCATTGCAATACCACCATTTTGCAGCCTTTGTATGACACCGTTTGTCAAATGTTGGGGTGCCAGTGGTGTTCCACAAGATACAAGAGATGCCAGGATCGTCACCCTGTACAAAAACAAAGGCGATAGGAGCAACTGCAACAGCTACAGAGGTATCTCCCTCTTAAGCATCGTGGGCAAACTGTATGCCAGAGTCCTGTTAGTGCATCCTCAACAGCTGGCGGAATGCGTCTACCCGGAGTCCGAAGGCAGCATGTCCAGACCTTTTGACATCAAAAGTGGCGTGAAGCAAGGCTGCGTCCTTGCTCCAACCCTCTTCGAAGTCCTCTTCTCCCCCCTTTTGAAATATACGTTAACTGAAGTTGTACAAATGCACACAAGATCAGAAGGCAGACTTTACAATATCACAAGACTCAGAGCAAAAATTAAGGTGTGTGAGACCATCCAGAGGCATGCTCTTTGCCGATGACACAGCAGTCACCTCACACACTGAAAAGGATCTACAGTATCTGACAGGCCTGCAAAGACTTTGGATTAACCATCAGCCTGAAGAAGAGCAACGTGCTAGGCCAAGACGTGGACACACCACCTGTCATCACCATCAACAACTATGAACTTGAAGTGTTACACCAGTTTACCTACCTTGGTTCCACCATTAGCGACAACCTGTCCTTAGATGTTGAGATCAACAAATCGATCCGAAAGGCCGCAACAACTCTTGGACGGCTGACTTCTCGTGTCTGGGAGAAGCCCAAGCTGACCACTCCAACCAAGACGGCGTTGTATTACACATACATAGTCATCACCATCCTGTACAGAAGTGAAATCTGGACAACCTATGCCAAGCAAGAGCAGAAGGTGAACAGTTTTCACATGCAATGTCTTTGCCGCATCTTTGGCATCAGCTGGAGGGACAAAGTGCCCAACGCTTAGGTTCTTGCCGATGCCAGTTTCCCTATAATATACACAATACTCAGACAATGCGAACTGCGCTGGAAGATGGTCAGATCCCCAAAGACATCTTCAATGATCAACTTGCTTTGGGCAAAAGACCCCAAGCGCACCCCCAGCTTAGATATAAAGATATTTGCGAGCGCGACATGAAGGCTCTGGACATCAATACAGAGATCTGGGAGGATACTGCAGCAAACCGCAACAGCTGGCGCTGCTTGCTCAAGACGTTGCTGAAGACAGGTGAGGAGAAGATCCTGATCCTGAACCTGGCAGAAAGAGGAGAGCCAGGCAGAAGGCACACAGACCCGGCAAACCCCCCTCACAAGCAACTACGTCTGCACTTTGTGCAGCAGAGACTGCCACTCCCGCATTGGTCTTACCAGACACCGACAATGCTGTTCTAGTCACAACACCACGACCTCCTCGGCCGCAGTATCCATGGTCGACATCGACCCAAGGAGGTCTATTACGGGACACTTTAAAGACAAAACAAAAGCGCTTAAGGGCTCAAAGAAACCGATCCTTATTTGTTTTGGAATTTTTCTTGTGTTTAAATTGGCTCGTACATATCATAAGCTAGATAAATACGCAAAAAAATATTTCTTGTCACAGGCACTTTAGTTTTGGTAACTACCTCGGGAGAAATTACTAAAAATTAAAAACATTCAAAAAGGCTAACCTTTGCCTAAAAGTATTATAACTTCATTGACGGCGAATGTCTTTTAGCAGGGCTGGTTTCATTGCTTTAGCATCATGGTACAAAATTAAAATTTCATACAGCTGATTTTTATAGTTAATTGACGCTAACTAACAGTGAAATGACTTTCTGCGAAATAGCGTAACAGCGTGCGTTTTTGACCTTCCTAGTAAAAGGAAATTTTGCCAAATATATTATAAACAAGTAATCGAATGTTTCCTTGTAAACTTAACGATAAATATCTTAAATTATCCTGCTCGACTCGGGCAAGTTCTAGAAACAAGTAACACTTTTGGAAGGGATATTTGTCCTAAATTTTACGTGACCCATGCGATTACTTATACAAATTCACTCCTTCCATTCCTCCTCCCTTCCAGATTATTTTCCGAGGTCATTAGCTCGCAGCTACTTAGTTGATTATTATTTTCTCTCTTTGTTATCTTCTTATATATGAAATAATTGGTCGTCTATTAATGATTTACCCGATACGGCACAAAAAGGAAAGATACCAAAACCACATGTTTAAACAAAGTTTGAGTGGTAATTGCAAACTAACAACAGAAGTTGAGCGGAGAAGCAGACCGCGACGAAAGCTGACTACATCGTTAAAAGTCTCCTCATTGTCTAAGTGGCAAATCGTTACTTATATAACATAATAACAAGGGATCTGAAATAAGGAAGGACAATTCACTCTGGATCTTGATAGATACTCACACCCAAAAATATTCCTAATAAGTGCTACAGTAATGCTATTGGAGTTTCTGATCCGCTCATTCTTGACAGCCTTATCAGTGCAAAAAGAAATTACCTGGTCAACGACCTACCATCATATGGACGTCTGAACGGTACCAGAGAAGATGGATGGTGCGCCGAATTAAACGATGACGAACAGTGGCTTTAAGTCGATCTCGGGAAAGTTACTGAAGTGAGAACTGTTGCAACCCAAGGAGAACATGGTCTGTAATTCCTTTTTAAAAATTTAAATAGTACGCGCGCGCGGTTTTCCGTGTTTACATCAGGCTATGTAAACACGGAAACCATTTTACATTTCTTCAAAAAATCACATAAAGTTATGTAGTAAAGCAGTAACAATTTGGTGTGATCCAATGGAAAAAAAAGACTTGACCATCAAAACCCATATTACCGCATGTGCCAAATTGGCGTAAATTGGCAATTGAAAAACAACCATGCAAGTGTGTTTAATATAAAGCATTTTTAATATTTATTAGAGGGTTAAGGAATGGAAGAGGCGCCTTCTCCGACAATCAAATGAGCACCTCTTCCCAATGGAGTAACTCAGAAGGTGCTCATTACGGTAGACTTCACGTAAAAGAAACAGCACAACGCAGGGGGTTGGGTGATTCGCACAAGTGATGAAAGCCAGTGGCTTCAGATCCATCTGAATAATCGATACATTTAAGTGCCAGAATTTTTACAAACAACTGCCTATTCTTATAGGGAAACACATGCACAAATAAGCCGAAAGACTCCACTGACAATTCAGAAAGACAGACAGACAAATAGACCGTTAAATAGGAGAAGTAGTCAACACACATAGGAACTCATATGAACTTGCATGATTTCCTCAGATGTGGACGAATGTCAAGAGCGGACTAATAACTGCCATGAAATGGCACAATGCAACAATACTGTGGGCTCATTCAATTGCACTTGTCTTCAAGGATTCCCAGGAGATGGTGTTGATTGCTTTGGTATAACCGTTGATTATGCACAAAATTTGTATATACATTACGCTCTATTTATAACAGTTAATCGAAGCTTACGGCAAAGTATGTATTTATTATGATAAGAACCACGTAACATGAACCAGCATTGAACATGGAATGGAAATATATACCGTAGTGATGAAATGTGCTGTCCCATTCGACTTAAATCCTTGACTAGGTAGCACTCTTTAGTTGCCAATATATAGCTAAACTACAATCTGCAAAATACTTCGCTCGTTTATGACTTTTCTTGCAGCCGCCAATATCCCAGAAGCAAAAGCCATTTTTCCTTGAAAAAAGTTCTTTGAAACAAGGGAGATCTCTAATAAACAACCTCAAGGCATTCGTGGAGATACATCCTCAGCGACGGGTCCGAATTGTGACACGAGTGGATCTAACTAATTCTCCGGAAATGCGAATAGCTACTTCGAGTTCCCAAACTATGAGGGATTAGACTTGGATAACTCAATCACATTTTTACGTTGGCTGTATCCTGAAAATACACACAACGGGAAAGTATGTATTCAGTTACAAATCAAGTA